TAGTTTTAAGGGATGGTTTTTATGCCTGTTTGGGACATCAAAAAGAAAAAAAATAATTGGTCTCAGTTCTAGGTCCATGAAACCTCATTCCCAATTCCGTTTCATTCAGTTAATGCTCACTCTCTGTATGGAAAATTTACTAAAAAAGCTAGTTAAAATTAAATATTATTAGTTATTTGTTAATAGTGCAACATAATTTGAATTTAGATTAATTTGATTTAAAATTGGACTATCTATTTCTATTGTGTCAACGTAATTAATAGTTTTATATAAATTTACTTTTGTACAAACAGTTTATGCGTTCGTTAGTCCTCAGAGGTGCTTATCGAACCTTATTATTTTGCATTAAGAGCCCTTTCACTGAATCAATGAGATTAGGCCCCGCTGCTTAGACCACCAAGTTTAGCCACATCCATACCATATAACACATAGTATTACACTGTATTATGGTATTATGTACGATATCGCATTAAGTGGTGTAGTATGGTAGAAACTACATAGACGCTGTTTAACCATAACATACAGGAATTATGAATAAGTCTCAGTAATTTAGTTTAAGGTTTGTCTGTTGACGTTTTGGCTTTCATAGTTTGTAATAGATACATGAGAGAATATAATATATCACCCAGAAATCCTACGGAAGATCTACATGAAATATATTTCCGGAAATATTTCAAGCTGTTTTTAATCAACAAATTAACATTTAATTCTAAAGCCTGTAATAATATATTCGGATTCAGCCGTTGGTTTATTTATATAAGTTTTAAACGGTTCTCTTAATAATTCGTTAATAATAGTTTAAGAAATTCAAAATTCAACGGTCAGTTCTCCAGTTGAATTTAACAACTACAATGAACCAGTTTAAACCACAATCTATATCCTCATAAATTTGATATTTAATAATTTAATGAACCAGTATCGGGTTTGAAAATTAATATGGAGATGTCATGTTGATGTTTTAACGTCGCACAGCATAGGACATTGCCTTGTCTCCTTTTATAACAAGTAGTAGGAAAACTAGTTTTCACTTTGATAAATGACACAAGTTTAAAAAGATTAAAAGTTTATCTAGTGTAATCTAAGATTTGAACCTTTTACTAACTTTACTTCATTATCATTGGTTCATAGTTTGACATACTTAGGCCTATCTATACATGTTAAAAGGCAAATATGATAAAATATCCCCGCCACAGTAAACCCCCATAATAAACTAATTTCAATTTGCCTGATTGGATTTTTAAACAAGTCATATGTATATTCTATTTAAATAACATTAGGTTTAAAAATACTACTTAGGTTTGCTACTACAGGGAGGATGATAAAGTATGTTTGTCAGTGAAATATAATAGCGTAGCTTAGTATTAAATAAATAAATTTGTCGAGTTTGATAAAAATATAACCATAATTATTTATAATTGTATTTTATTATGAAATATAACCATTATCGTTTTCTTATGAAAAATACAATAGTTTACTTATTCTTCATACCAATATCATGGGAATTTTCATTTTTTTTTATTTTAGACCAATTTTGATGCATTTGGCAAGAATGTGTAGAACTGGATAATCTTGATTTAGTTGGCAAAACCAGCAAGATTGATTAATATGAACGGGTGCTATGAGGTAAAACAGTTTTTCTTTATTTTTTTCTTTAAACCATGAAAATGCCCCATTTTCATTTCACCCATCACATAAAGCCTAAAAAACTATATGGTAATTTAAGCAGCTTTGTGAATAAAGGTTACGGAGAAAATAAAAAAACCATAAATTTTAAATGTAATTTTTTAAATGTAGAAAATGAAAACGGTTGTAATTTATTTGGTTACAGATATTTGGAATGAAATTTTGCTATATATATTTATAAAAAAATTATTTATTTATAATTTTTATTTATTATATTTATTTAATACTTTTATTTAATCCTTTCCAGTAAAGATTTGACCAAAACAATAATTCTCCCTTCCCTTTAAGCACACAGTTCCTTTAGTCTTTTACTCCTTTAAGATAATGTTATTTATATAGGGAGTAAACATGATATATTTAAAGAAATATTTATCCAATTAGATAAGAGATTTACTCATCCTGCAGGTTTGCTGTTACGGTGGCAGTTTTCAATTATTTCAATGTTTTCAATTGAAAATGTTACTTTTATCATAACACCTGTTTATCTGATTATGTGTAGACATAAGCGACAATGAGCTGATAAACATTTGGTGTTTATTTGATAAACATTCAAAAGTAATGTTTGCTTAGGCCATTTCATTTCCCCTAAGTGTAATATGATAAATATTTAGCTTTCCGTCAAATGGTCCCGCTGTAAATATTGCGTTGTTGTTGTTTACTAACTTGATAATATTTGTGATAAAATATCCCTTAGGTAATATAATAGCACATGCTTATACTGACAAAATTTGGGCCTTATGTTTTAAGGAAAGGTACGTCTTGACGTAGCCAATTTAACTGTGCAGGATATCATGTTGGATGGCACAGAATATAAAGTTTAAGTGTGGCTTTTAATAAACAATAAACGAAGGGTAACAATCACTACAACTCCCTACCTTTCCTCTCAATAGCAACAAACCCTTTCCCTATTTTCAAAACTTGTATTACAACAAAAACTAGGTTATTGGTTTGAAAAAAAAACTCAAAAGAAATCGAAAACCTCACCTCACCCTAGGTTTAAAAATCATTAAATGTAAGGGGGGTTTCTTGATTTAGGGAGAAGCATTTGGCGAATGTTCGAATTGTAATTAACTCGTCCTCTTCTAATATAGTGTAGGAACTTTATATTATAAACAACAGTAAATAAAAATAGAGCCCTCATGCATTTCAACTGTGCATTCATTAGGTACATCTAATGAATGTGTACCTACGCAAAATTATGTGCGTCTACAAATAACGAAGAATAGTCATATAGTTGTAGTATTTGATTAAGTCTGTGGTGTGGTAAGTTAGGTTGGCAATCCTGCTAAGTGAGGCGTAAATGTCCACGTTAATCAGGGCAATGGTTCCCTCGACCGAGCCTCATTGCTCCACCAATAACAGGAGGACCCTCCACGAGACACAATGTAAACCTCGGTGTTATATTACGTCATTTAATTAACTTCTGACCATTAGGTTTGATATTTAATTTGAAGAAATTTTAGACAGGAAACAAATCATCCTATCCTTTTTTAAATACCGGTTGTTTGAAAAAGAACTCCCTAGTTTTGAAATGTATTTATTTATTGTACAGTATACAAATTACAATGCCTGATACACTAAATGAAAGGTAATGAAATACTTTTTTTAACTAGTACCCCTCGAGATGTGAACTATTTGTAGCCCAGTAGATATACAAGCGATTTTTACAAATTTTTATCATTCATTTTGTTATTTATATATAAAAAAAAAACTAGCCTCGAGGTCAAACATGTGTATTGCTAACGTACGAAACTAAAACTTACAATTATACTCTACAGCAAAAAATGATTATTACTCATCCATTTAAACTAATACTATCGTGAGGTATTTTTAAAACAAGGGGTTCATTTTCGTACACCCGGTACTATAAGTGGTTAATAATTCGTTAATAATAAATGGTATTTTATTGGACTTATCAAATTGAATGCCATTTGTGGTTTCTGGTTGGCAAACTTTGATAACTAAATTCTATAAAGTCAACATAATCTAATAATACGTTAGATTTTAAACATAAACTATTAGTTACCCACATCTAAAGGCTTGATATTAAGTTAAACCCATTTTAAGTTACAAATAAATATTCTTTTGACGAGGGAAGGAATTGTAAGGATAGCATGTTCACATAAAGTAAGAAAGCAATATTAGTAGTAGATTTCAGAAACATCCTTTCAACTCTTTTGTTCGAAATATAAAGCAATATTTTAATATTGGAAACACATAATAGCTTATTTAATATTTAAATTAGAATATGTGTTATTATATAGCATTGTATTATTCACGTGGTTTTTAGGATGTTGTCAACATAAACGAACCCCATTCGCTTGGAACTGCTAACTTCTGTACCTTGATATTGTAAGAGCTAGTGTCAGATTAACAAGTTTTAATTTAACCAACAGTCCTCTTATATCTTACCTATCTAACGGGTAGGGAGCTAGTAATGCGACTCACATGCTTGTCTCAGTAACAGCTAAAATTTAGATTCGTGATGTGCACACACTTATTCACCTAGAGTTTATAATTGTTATTTCTTAGGTTTAATCTCCTGGGTTAGTTTGTACGTTAAATAGGAATGATCTTTATTCCATCAAGATACTAGTAACTTTTAATACCACCACGTGGCTTCGTTTGATAACAACAAAGCTATTCCGTTACTACCAGCAGGAATAGTTGGTGTGTTGGAACATTGACTTGTAACTTATTTAATAAAATAATTGTACATTACATTTGCTGAATCGCAATTTTCTCACCTTCTCAGCTGAACCAGTGATGGAAGTGTATAATCGTAACTCTATACTCAACATACTACCAGCCCTCGCACCCGCATATTGTCAAAGTTTGGTTGAACAGCTTCTTGTAAACGTGTTAAACAAGGCTTTGTCAGTCTAAGATGTGTCTTATTCTGATGAGACTTAGTTATTATTATAACAATACTTTAAAAACGTAACCAGAATATAACTTTACAAATACGGTTACAACTACAGGCAGAAACGCGAGTCTATATATGCGTACCTGTGTCTCGTACTCGACTGAAGCTCCGATCGTTTCTCTAGGGCTTTCCAGAAGCGTAGGGGCAAAGTACAAGGGTCGTCTCATTGTCTCTACCGAGCGCTTCCTCTTGCTATTGTATTATGTAGGCTACATGTTTAAAACCAAATGTCCACTTCTTGACTTTATAATATTAACTAAATATCTTGAGGTGTAATATAAAATAAATAATAATCTTCCGATTTATAACAATTCCTCCCAACCAAAAAGAGAATGTGCTTCCATCAAATAAAATAAACAAAACAAAACTTGGGAGGATTTTCTTTCTCTATTTACATGTCCAGTTTCTTAGGTACCCTCCGGGGCCTTTGCGAGCGTCGAAGGATAGCCTGTTCTTGATGTTGGTCGTGGCGTTGGTCTGCATCATATGTGACATCATATGCATCATATGGTTCTGGTGACCTTTGCAGTGAAGAAGGGGTAGCGGGAGTGATAGCCTTCTTCAAAGGCGAGTTCTGAGGGCTCCTTTCAGTTGTTTCAGTTTGTTTGGGACTTGATCGAAAGGCTTCTCTTGGGAAATGAATAAAATCATCTTCTTCTTCCTCCTCACCGGCCCTTGCTCTGAGATGATCTGCGTGGACAAACCTAACCCTACCATCAACTCTGACCAAATATGTCACAGGACTGACAACCTTTGTTACAACTCCTGGCTGCCACTTGATCTTTTCCTGCCGAACTGTTCGGACGTAAACGTTGTCATCAATTACAAAACTCCGAGGCTTACCACGGTGATTGTTGGCCGTACTTGTAATGCCTTCTTGTTTAATCTCCATCTGACTGGTCAAGTGAGGTTTCAAAGGACTCAGATGTGTTTTGGGCTTGAATTTAAACATCAATTCAGATGGGGTCAATCCTGTCATTGAATGGGGTGTGTTCCTGTACGTGAACAGAAAAGCGTCAATGTGGTGTTGCGTTGAGCGTTTGCTTTTACATTTGGCATCATGAAGCATCTGTTTGAGAAATGATTCCTTCACTGTTTGTACTGCTCTTTCGGCTAAGCCGTTGGAAGCAAGATGAAATGGAGGTGTCAGGATATGATGTATACCATTTTTTCCCATAAATTCCTTGAATTCAGATGACTTGAACTGCGGTCCTCCATCCGTTACTACTGTTGAAGGTAGCCCAAATGTCGCAAAGCAATGACGGAGCTTTTCAATGGTGTGCTGAGATGTAGTTGTGGACATATAAAATACCTCAATCCACTTAGAGCAGCTATCCACTAGTATAAGGAAATCTTTCCCTTCAAAATAGGCAAAATCAAAGTGTAGCCTTTGCCAACAGTGTTTCGGCCAAGTCCAAGTTTGGAGTGGAGCTAATGGGGCAGACTTGCGTGTTTTCTGACAGATTGAGCACGTACTCACCATGTCTTCAATTTGTCTGTCCAATCCAGGCCACCAGACGAAACTACGGGCCAAAGCTTTCATTCTGCTCTCACCCGGATGTTCTGAGTGGAGCAACAAAATAATTTCCTTCTGATGTGTGGGAGGTATTACGACCCTATTACCCCACAAAATGCAACCCTGTTCCACTGAAAGTTGAGTGCTTTTATTGAAGTAAGGTTTCATATCTTCTCGTTCAACATGTCCTGGCCATCCGTTCGTAACATAGTCGATTACCTTTGACAAAACTGGATCGAACCTTGTAGCTGTAGATATCTCCCTTGAAGTAATCGGTAGCTGGTGAGCGTAAGAGAAGAAAGAAATCTCACCTTCGAGTTCTCCCTTGTCACAGGGCAGCCGTGATAACGCATCAGCGTTAGAAATATCCGTACCCTTCTGGTACCGAATGTCGTACTGGTAAGCGGCCAAGGTCAGTGCCCACCTTTGGATGCGGGCTGCTGCAAGTGTCGGGATACCTTTAGTAGGCCCTAACAAAAATATCAAAGGACGGTGGTCGGTGACCAACGTAAATTTCCTTCCGTATAGGAATTTGTGGAACTTTTTCACAGCGTAAACTAACGCAAGAGCCCCCTTTTCTATTTGGCTATACTTTATTTCACATTTCGTTAGCGTACGCGAAGCGAATGCAATCGGCCGCTCTGACTTGTCAGGTAAGGCATGTGCGATGACGCAACCGATACCATAGCTTGAACTGTCACACGTGACTACTACATCTAGATTTGGGTCATAGGGCATTAAGACATTGTCCCTAACTAGCAGTCTTTTGCTTTCTTCATAAGCGAACTCACATTTACTACACCAGAACCATTTTGTATCATTATTCAAAAGCCTGTAGAGCGGGTGTAGCAAGGTTGCCAAATTAGGAATACATTTTCCATAAAAATTGATGAGCCCTAAAAATGACCGCAACTGAGAAACATTTTCTGGCTTGGGTGCATTTAATATGTCCCTGGTTAATTCCTCACTCTGATGAATTCCCAATTCATCTAGGCGGTAGCCTAAGAACACAAGGCTAGACTTGAAAAACTCACTTTTACTAATATTGATTCTTACTCCATATTCCATTAGCCTACCAAGAACTAATTCAACTAAAACTTCCATTTCAGATAGGCTCTTTGAAAACACTAAAATATCATCAATATAACACACTGTGTTACTTATTCCACTCAAAATCTGATCCATAGTCGCTTGAAACAAAGACCCTGCACTAGTGATACCATAGGCTAACTTTTTGTAACGAAACACTCCCTTATGTGTGTTGATTGTGAGCAACTCTTGTGAGGACTCATTAACCCTTAATTGGCTATAAGCCGCAGAGAGATCTAACTTTGAATAAAATTTTGCCCCTGATATCCGAGTAAGGATATCTTCAGGATTCGGTAACGGATAGTGATCCGTCCGCAAGCAAGGATTAATAGTGACCTTGAAGTCCCCGCATATTCGAACTTCATTATTATTCTTGGGTACAACAACAATGGGAGTCGCCCATGAGGACTTGGTTACAGGGTAAATGGTCCCATTTTTCTGCAATTTCTCCAGCTCGTCTTCAACCGCCCCTCTAAGGGCAAATGGTACACTTCTGGCCTTACAAAAGACCGGTTTGGAATTTTCTTTCAAAATAATATTTACAGAACTGCCTTTGATTTCACCGGGTCTGTTGGAAATGTTTAACTTTTTAACTTAGTCCCCTTTGGATGATTTTTTATCAACACTTTGAGAAACACATGTTATTAATTTGCATATGTCTAAATAATGTTATAATTGTTTTGTAGAAATATAATAAACCAAAAATGTAACTTTTTAAAACTGGTTTATTTTAATTTTTGTAGAAAATCAGTTTAATTTAAGAGTTTTGTTACATTTAATGGCGACCCTGCCAGGATAGTTTTGAGTTATTATTTTGAGGTAAATATTCATCATTGTACAGGTAATATACTTTTGATTTATTATAAAAATGACTGAACTTCAAAGAAGAGCTTACAGGTCAGTCTTTACTAAAGAGGTAATTGCTATTGAAAACCTATTGAGCCAAAATGAAGATTTAAGAACTATTGTTGCCAGGTTTAATGTATTAAATACAACTTATGAAAAGCTTTGCTCTTTAAATGATGTAGTTTTGCAAAGTCTAATTAGTGAAGAGGAGGTAACAGAGGATGAAATTGAGTCAGAAATTATAGGGACTAATGAGTATGCAACTAAATACCATCAATTAAGCTTGAAAATTCAAGAACTGCAGTTAGTTGCTAACCCTGGTAGTGAATCAAATAAAACCTATTCCAATAAAAGGCGCCTTCCAAAAATAGAACTTAAAAGATTTGATGGTGAACTTAAAAATTGGATAGGATTCTGGTCTCAGTTCAGTAAAATCCATGATGATAATAGTTTAAGAGATGAGGATAAGTTTGATTACTTACTACAATCTGTGAAGCTAGGCTCCTCAGCTCAAAAACTAATTGAAGGTTTTCCTCCGTCAAAAGAAAACTATTTGAAAGCAGTTGAGCTCCTTAAATCTAGATATGGAAAAGAAGAATTTCTTATTGAATACTATTTCAGGGAACTTTTAGCTCTAGTTTTAAATAAGACTGATAACTTGTCAATCACATGCCTTTATGACAGGCTTGAAGTACAGCTAAGAGCTCTCGAATCATTGGGAGTAACCAAAGAGAAATATGCTGCCATGCTATTCCCTCTCGTTGAAACAGCCATACCTCAACCTATTTTTAAAATATGGGAAAGGTATCGTGTTAATAAGAATGCATCCACAACAGAGCCAGATAACTGTTTGAAAGAATTCCTTCAGTTTCTAAGAACCGAAGTTGAAGCTGAGGAGAGGCTTAAGTTGCGTGAAAACTGTTTTGGCGTGAAGTCTCACAAGGTGGATCTTAAAAAAGACTCAACCAAAACTCAGCGGTTTGGTAAACCTAAGGCAAGCTCACCTTCAGCAGCAATACTTGTTTCTTAATCTGAAAATAGTGCAAAGGTAGGTACAGATTTAAATACCAACTTAAGAAGAAATCTTTGCATATTTTGTGGAAAAACAAACCATAACTCGCCTGATTGTTTTTCTATCTTCGATAAAACAGTATCAGAAAGAAATGAACTTGTAAAGAAAAAGGGTGCATGTATAAAGTGTTTGAAAAAGGGGCACTGGGCTCAGAAATGTAAATTACAAGTGAAATGTCACATCTGCTTGGGTGGACACAAAAAAGGTTAGAATCTTGTGCGACTCAGGTTCACAAAAGAGTTTTGTTTCTAGCCAATGTGTATCAGAATTAGGCCTCAAAAGCAATGATAGAGTTTTAGTTCAACAAGAAGTTTTTGGAGGTAAGCAAACTGGACCTAAATACCATAAAACTTATGGCATCACTTTGAGTTCACTAAACTTGGATTTTAAAACAGATTTACAAGTTATAGAACAACAAGTTATTTGTAACCGGATTCCCAAGTTTTGTGACTACAGTTTGATAAAACGTTTGGAGCAAGATAACATCATTTTGAGCGATATATCGACCTCTGACGAAGAAGACTCTGCTAGTATTGATGTGTTATTGGGTGCTGATGTTTGGTCACAAATTATCACTTCGGAGTTTCACAAAGTAAATGACCAACTTGTGGCCATAAAAACACGATTGGGCTGGACGATTGTTGGTTCATCTGAATCATCTGGTAGAGATTCATCTTTTGTCTCATCTATGTTTATTGCTTTACAGTCATCACAGAATGTTAAGCAGTTTTGGGAGCTTGAGACGATGGGAATCACAGACCCAAGTGTGAAACTGGAGAAGGGAGAAAAGGACGAGCAAGTGGTAGAGTTCTTTGAGGATACTGTGACAAGAGACTCGACTGGCCGCTACATCGTACAACTTCCTTGGGTTGAAGAACGACCCTCACTGGAGTCCAATATGTATGTAGCTGAGAAACGTCTACTCACAACTACAAGTAAGCTGAAAAATATGAATTTATATGCAGACTATGATGCTACTTTTAAAGAATGGGTTAACAAGGGAATAATTGAAAGGGTTGAAAAAAAAGAAACTTCTTTGGACCAAACTGTTAATTCTGTTCATCACCTTCCTCATCGAGCAGTCATTGAAGAAGGGAGCACTACTCGAATACGACCAGTGTTCGATGCCTCGTGTACAGTAAGGACAAAAATGGTTGTAGTTTAAATGATTGTCTTGAAGTAGGTCAAAATTTGATTGAGTTGGTTCCAAACGTACTAACTAATCTGAGGAAACATAAATTTGGCTTGACTTCTGACATTGAAAAGGCATTTCTCCAAATTCTTGTGTCCCCTAAAGACAGAGACATGCTTAGGTTTTTATGGTGGGAGGAAGGAAAAGTTGTGATTTATCGACATACTAGAGTCGTATTTGGACTAACATGCAGTCCTTTTTTGTTAGGAGCTGTAATCAATAATTTATTACGTAATGCACCAGATTGTTTGAAGTCCGTAGCTGACAAATTACAGAAATCATTTTATGTAGACAACAGTTTGACGGGTGTAGACAATGAGAATGATCGAAATTCCTTGGTAAGACAAGCACAAGACATTTTGAGGCTTGGAGAATTCAACCTAAGGGGATGGGCTGGAAACTTTGAGCCAACAACACAAAACGTTTTAGGGTTAAAGTGGGACTGTTCTTCAGACACTTTGTTTTGTAATGTTTCATTTTCAAACTTGGAACCTGATGAATTAACTCGAAGATCATTACTATCCCACACACAAAAAATCTATGACCCCATAGGTTTTACTGCCCCTATGACACTCATCCCAAAAGTTATTTTGCAGAAGACTTGGAGTTTAAAAATTGGATGGGATGATAAATTACCAGAACATCTCCAGTCTGAGTATCAAAAATGGTTTGAACAAACACCAATTATTGAGGAGTGTAAAATTCAACGTCGAATCATTATGAATAACTCAAGCACACTTCATGTGTTCTGTGACGCTAGCAAATCCGCTTTTGGAGCCTGTATATTTCTGAGGACTGAAGCTGATGATGCTGTACATGTTAGTTTAGTGCTAGCCAAATCTAGAGTTTCGCCAGTGAAACCAATTACGTTACCAAGGTTGGAACTGATGGCAGCACTCCTTGGTGTAAGACTTTGTACCTTGGCTCTTCAATGTCTAGGTAAACCTGACTTACCTTGTTTCTATTGGTCAGATTCTTCTGTTACACTAGCTTGGATTACCAATCAAGGGAAATGGTCTGTATTTGTAAACAATAGAGTCAAAGAAATAAATAAGTTTAGTAATCCATCGCAATGGAGATATGTTTCCAGTCATACAAATCCCGCAGACCTAATTTCAAGAGGTTGCTTACCACAACAGTTACTCAATTCACAATGGTGGAATGGACCAACATGGTTGTATAGCAATGCTTGGCCAACTGAAAATCCTTTACCTGACAGAGAAACAGTTGAGAGTGAAAAGAAGAAGTCAGTGATTACCGCAACACCGTTGAGACCTTATCAATTGCTGTCATGTTAGGACAAAGATTTTCAGAAGACACTGAAGATTTAAAACCCCTCACACCATCTATGTTCATCCAATCTATACAAGGTACGGTAATGATGTATCAGATTTAGATTTATTAGAGAAGACAAGTTTGAACAGTAGATGGAAGTATATACTAAGTATTCGAGAAGGACTAAGAACAAGATTTCAAAAGGAATACTTGGGTTTTCTAAATTCCTCTAAAAAGAACGTAAACAAAACTTGTGAAATCAAT